TTAGGGGATCTTCTTTTTTTGGTATGAAGATGATGCAGCCATAGATATCGAAATTATCGAGCTCATGCTATTTGCGCTATGGTTGGATGCCTGCAGTAGAAAAACAGAAAGGAGAATAAGTTTTATCGATTTATTTAAGGATTTTAGCACAACACCCATCACAACCTCATATAATGTTTTCGGACTTTTATTGCATGTTCTTTGTGGTCACCGCGGAAGGCTTAAGGAAGCGATCAGCTGCATTCATACTCGATATTAACTTAATCTGAAAGCATATCACTCCATAGCGTCCAATAAAGTAGCTACAGTGCCGGTGCCTCGTTCCAGCTATTGCACAACGTTGCATAACTTGCTCCAGTGAAGTGTTGACCAAGAAAGTCTATTTGTCTATTTCCATATGTCTACCTTATCTTATTGCTGAGTATTTGAACGCTCACGAACAATTTTAAGAATTTTCTAAATTTTACAGCTAACAATCATCGATCATTTGCTGTTTTTAAGACACAAATTCTTTATTCTTTAATGCTTCGTCTTTATGGCATCCCCTTCACGCTTGTTTCACCTAAAAACTGCAGCTTTGGTGCCCATCCTTCTTTAAAAGTGCTTATTCGAGACATATTCGCCTTTTTTCAGTTACAGAACGTAATGCGTTCAGTAGTCTGTTCTTCACACCTTTTTTAAATGAATTTTTCAGGCTTTTCCGACATTAACGATGTCGTATACCGAAAGTGAAAATTATCACACCCTGTAAGAATGATTTTCGACTTATAAAAGCAAATCTAAGTAAAATTCTTGCAGCTATGAGAAAGACCGTCGATCATGCGATGCTAATAGACAGGAAAAAAGACGACGGAAACTTTTAGATAAGGATATCTTCGTTACTAAAACTCTTTGCGACCCAGCAAACGTTCTTAGCAAGGTAAATTGTGTATATTTTTAATTGAAGGCATAGTCCAAGGATTGGGAAGTTCATTAATTTAGCGATGTAAGAAAAAGCTGCTCGCAGAAAAATTCGACGGTTTTTCTCCAAATGTTCCATATTCGCTGAACAAACAGAAACGATGGAGCACAATCACTGCAACATCCTTACTCAAAAACCAACAGGAGAATTCACCTGAAACAGTAATCGTACACAGAACAGATGTTCCTTTGAAGGGTTTGTTCAAAAACTTTTCTGCAATCGTCTATCTAATTTTTTCGAGCATATTTAGAGAGCGGTCGTGTCAATTCAATTCAAAATGTGGAAATAGTTGAAAATGATGCCATAAAAAAACTGTCTGGTGGGCGAAGGAAAGCTGTCAGTTTGAAACCAGCAGAAAATAGAAATCCCACCAATCAAACGATTTTTTGATGTCTGTTTTTGTAGCTAAAATATTTCAACGGCCAAATAAGGCAATTACGGCATATGGATAAGAAGGAGGTAGAACCGGCAAGGATTCACTTCAACTTCACAAAACAGACTTCTCCTATACTAACGTCTGGCAAAAAATCAAAGCGAAGTAAGTCATAATCAAAACGTACGAGAAGGAGGTGTTAAGCCGCATTTTGTAGCGACTAGGCGTAAGGGAATGTTCGAGAAATTCGGTTCTGCCGACTTTGGAGAATTTGAATGTTCTGACATTGTGGAGGTCACTGACGAAGAGGCTGATCCTGAGAAGAAAGAGAACAAGCGGTAGAATCCATTTACCTATTTAGGAAATAACTTAAACTATATTACGTTGAAATTTCAGAGCTACCGAGCTTGCAGACTATCTTACCCTCAGTGATAAAGGTGTACAGACGACCTACACTCACAATCAGCATCATTCCGAGGCAAAAACATTTTCGGTAATTTCTGAGGACAGCACATCCAAAAAGGTTTGTTGCTTATTATAACGTACATTGCTATAAGTATTACCACTCCAAATATAGAAGCTCTCGCCTACTCCAATGGATTTGCTGGACATATCCGCAGCCACTAATGCCCCTCACATTTTTTTAGTTTGTGGGAGGGTTATCAAACAAAGCGAGGAGCCTTTTGATTTGAAGCAGCAGGCATGATTTTATATTTATTGAATAACAAGTATTTGGCCTATCAAATATCCATACAAATAAATTCATTTCTAGATCCTATCCTCGGTACCAGATAGATACATTGTGACGTGGTTCGGTTCAAAACGGGTGTTGGTCAGGAGTCGACCATACTCCAAGCCAATGTTTGCTCTTTTCTTTGAACATGAGGAAGAACGTAAAATCTTGAGGTAAATATGCTTCACAGTTATGGTCTACAGTAATGACAGAGGGAAAAATATCTCAAACATTGTTTTCTTCAGAGTACGGGTTAACACAAATTCACAGTACGTTGAGAGAGCCAGAAGTAGTCACTTCAAGAATGTCATCAGGCAGAGGAGTTATAACTCGCTATTTCTTGACTTGGAAGAGTTCATTATTAAGACGGGCAAAGAGTAAGCTATATTATCTTTCACAACTAGTCTGGAGATCACGATAATTTGCTAATGAACAAGCAGTCTTTAAAATTTTTGTTTAGGGAGAGTAAAGATCCTGGAAAAGATAGTCGTTTTTCTTTGTACCCGGAATGTTTTGAGCATAAATTCCATAGTGAATTTATAGCTCCTCTTGTAAGTTCCTCGTTCATTTTTTCCGAATTAAGTTAAAATTACGTAATTAGTAATTAGGAGAATTCCTTTCAGGCTACTAAATTCAACGATCAAGATCAAATTGAATATTTGAGCCGACCTTATATACAAGACAGTCGCGACATCGCATCGTTTGAAGTCATTGGACATGGTGTAAGCAAACTTTAACTAATCGTCTTCGATGGAATCCCTGTGTAGTGAAGATTTTTTTCAAGGACAACCTAGCAATTTGCTGCTCATGTCATATGTCAACGAAAAAAGATCTTTTTCCATCATTTGATGGAATGATTTGTCGAGACTGCGTAGCATCTTCTATA